AAAAAAAAAAAAAAAAAAAAAAAAAGACAGCAACTTATCATTCTCTTGTCATAAGAGATATAAATAAATTGTGTGATACCTTGTTATGGCTATTTAATCCTAACAAATCATCAAGATATTAATAAAATGTTGCTTTTCCTAAATGATTGATAACTTGGTACGCATGAGTAATTTTGTAGATTTGGCACATAATCTGATCAGCATCGTGGCCGGTCGTTAAGTTTAAGATAATACCTTATCGGACTGAACAGCTCGGACGGTGAAGGAAGAGATTCTCTTGGTCGGATAAACGCCGAAAGGAGGGCCGGAGATGCCCTTAGGGACGGGTAGACGCCTAGCAATTGAAGCGGACGAGAAGCTGCTCTTTAGCTGGCTCGCCATTGGAGATGCACTTGCTGCCATTGTTTTTGTGAAACAAAAAGCAAAACAACTTCATTTATGTGATGAAGAAATAAGCAAATCTACGAGCCTTTAGATTGTATCTGCTGATGTGGCACGATAGAGGATCTGATTTTGTGGCTCTTAAGATATATGTGATTTATTTATCTGAATCTCATTGGATGTTATCTTATCCACTCTGAGTAAAAAAAAATTTGTTGACAACAATTTTCTTTTATATATACATATATATATATATATATATATATATATTAAAATTATTGTGGAAAATGATTATTTACCTAAACTATAGCTTGGTTTTTCCCATATATTTTAATTTAATTTAGATTATTTTATATTTTGTATTTGAGTATATATATTTTATATTTAAACTAGTTATGCTATACACATTATTAGACAAATTTGTAGATTTTGTGTTGTTTTTTGTGACTACTATTAGAATTCAATATCAGTAAATACATATAAGCTCGTAACTAGTAAACAGAAGTATGTTTTATTTAATCTAAGTTAAAATTCAATTATTTTTTTGTCTTGTTTATTTAATTTTTTATGAAATATATTGAAATTTATAAAACCAATATATATATATATATATCAGTCAAACAAAAGAGTCCGAGTACAAACCAATCCACAATTAGTGATAAAAAAAATATAAATTAACAAATTTAAAATATGATGGTAAAAAATACATAAACATGGCCAGATCAAGATTCCAAATACTTTGTTTGATTTATTGATGAAATTGACATATAATCAATACAAGACAGACACATTAAACATGGTCAGGAGGATATGTTACTATTTGGTTGATGATTTTCAAGACATACTTTGCAAGTAAAATCAATGTTTTATAGTTATACTCCTATGTTGTCACCTCCTTAGAGTTCAAGAGTTGCAACAAATAGAAATATACTCTTTAAACTTTAGTTTATTCTGAGCATACATAAGATACATCCACCAGTCTTTACCCAAATTGGATGTGTCTTATTAGTAAGCTCTCAATCTTGGTATCTCTCAACTTCCTTTTTGGTCTTCTTTTTTCTCTGTTACACATAAAAAGGTGTGAACTCCCAGCCAACTATCTTTACACATCTAGTCATTCCCTGATACGGATCAAGATATTTTCTGGTGATTATCAAGACAATTTTGAGAGAAGTAAAGTATACCTCAGTTTAGTCATCCACCTCTTTTTTTTTATTCAGCTGAAACATCTCAACCTCAACCTGTATAAGAGAGAACCAAACATGAAAATAATAACCTTAGTTGGTTTTTGATATAGAGTGTAACTAGTATCACAAGAACTTGGGCATTTATGCCATGTTAATTAAGTTCTCTATATGTCATCATGTTGATCATACCTCTTTTGTGTATCCTTTTTCCTGCCATATATATATATATATATATCAAAATAAACTGCGAATATTTTTTCACAACCTTCTGAATTCACTCTGGATCTGCAATTCTTTTGTCATCCACTACATTAGACAACAAAAATAAAGAGAGTAAGTTTAGGATGTAGGGTTTTTATGACAGAAAAATACTTGCATTGAGGTACAAAATACATATAAGAGCATAACCACCTTAAGATGCTAACTAATACATACTCCCATGGAATTAAATTATTAGTTGAGGATCAGTTTCTTCCTTAGTGGTATAACTGCTTGAATTTGCTTCTCCTTCACTTACATATTTAAGGCTTTGAGCTCTTTGCTGACACATAACATTTAAATCTTAGAAAATCAACGTGTTATCAGTTGGTGGAAAGGTGAGCATAACAATGATCAGAATACACAGAAAGCACAATAAAATAACTTAGGCGATCTGCAACCAAGGAATGATGAATAGAACCCCATACAAAATTGACTAATTAAATTGTTGTCACCACCTACATCCTTGTTATCCTGAAAATAATTACAAAAATGTGTAGTTGGTCGATAATAGCAGATCCTGAAACTAATAAAGAAATCACCGTTAGAATCAACATTCGTCCGCCAGCGTGCAAATTTTGACTTTTTAAACCCAAACTTGATATCACTCCAGTTCGATTTCAGCTCATCCATTCAATTCTTATTTGTGAAGGATGATACCCGTTGGTTAGAAAATGTCTCTCTGGACATGTCTATGACTCTGGACCATTGGATTTCACGAGTGATTTAAATGCTAACTCACACTACATCCCACCATATGGAGAATGTATGTACCTTCAAGACTAATATCTTGGGTTGCCAAAGGGGTTTCCTCGGGGCTTGATGGCTTATATCTCACAAGATTTGAATCCCAACGTAAGGAGTATTGGAAGGCTCTCTACTCATGCGTTGTAAGTTTCCACCAAACTTCTATACCTTCTCTATAGTTACGACTTGTAGCAAAGAATATTTACTTTTCCTTCTGTTTTTCTTTTACCAGGAGATTGGGGCTCCATATCTCATTTTATTCTCGGAGAACGACGAAATTCTTCCCGCCTAGTAATATCGAGTTTCACCCATCAATTGCAGGAACTGGGAAGAGAAGTTAAGGTTATCAAGTGGAAACATTCTCCTCATGCAGGTTAGTCATATGACAAATAAAATGTTATTTCTCTTATTTCAAAATATGAGCTTTTGCTCCTCTATTTCTTCAGGACACTACACACATAATGTTGTGACAGATGTGAGAAGATATAGATTAACAGATTGATAAACAATGGAGAATGACACAGAGATTTAACGTGGTTTGATCCACGGACAAAAGGAGTACTTTATTAGTGGAGGCTAGTTTTTCAGAGTACAACTCGTGTTACAGAATAGGGTAAAACCCTAAAGATATATAAGAAACCGTTTAATGAAACTTTCCATATTTTCTCGGATTTGACACAATATCAATCGATACAAAGGCTCATGTATCGATCGATCTGTGTCCGGCCAGATCGACCGATCCATGACTCCTGGATCGATCGATGCAGATTCAAGGCATATTTCAACAAATTGCCACCTTGACTTGAATCCCCCATAATCAGATGTACCAGGATGCACTTCTTCGTGCTCAGATGTACCAGACTTTCTCTTTGCCTCAGATGTTCCGTCGAACTCAGATGTCAGATGTCCCGTCGGACCAGACGCTCCTCAGAGCTAGATGCCCTCACTTGGGCCAGATGCTCTTGCGAGCCAGATGCCCCTTAGAGCCAGACGCCCATCAGGGCCAGATTAACAGCTTGAGATGTTCAGCAAATCAAGACAATGCTTGAACTTGCTATGAGGAACCGGCTTAGTGAACATATCCGCAGGATTATCAGTTGTTCCTACCTTCTTCACTTTAATCCTCTTCTCATCTCTCAGAAAATTGTATCTCACATCGATATGCTTGGTTCTCTCATGATGAACCTGATCCTTGGCTAAATAGATAGCACTCAAACTATCACAGAACACAGTAGCCTGATCATTATGAAGACCAAGATCAATGACCGGTCCTCTCAACCATATTGCCTCCTTAGCCGCTTCTGTCAATGCCATATACTCTGCCTCAGTTGTAGACAAAGTCACCGTCGACTGCAAAGTCGCCTTCCAGCTCACAACAGAACCGCCCAAAGTAAATATGTAACCAGTCATAGATCTCCTGCTGTCCACATCTCCTGCATAATCTGAATCAGAATAACCAGTAACCAGTCTTGGATCCTTGTCTCCATAGACAAAACCAACATCAGATGTACCCTTAAGGTACCGGAAAATCTCGAACTCAGAATTCAGCAGCTCTTTCAGCTTCTGAACATCATACATCTTCTTGGAAGCTATCAGCTTGTCATCTACATACAGCACCAAGTAAATACACGAAACATCCTCCACCTTGCTTATGTAAAAACTACAGTAATAAGGACTCATGTCGTAACCCAACTTGACCATATAGCTGTCACACCTCTTGTACCACTTGGGAGTTACAACCTTTCTCCTAGGTGATAGTGTGACCAATAAACATGTATGATTCTTCTCATGAGAATCTATCTCATCTTCCATTACAACAAACCATTTCTCAGACTCATAACTAGAAATCACTTCTCTGTAAGTGGATGACTCGTAAGTATCCACTTCCTTTGCAATATGCAGTGCATAACCCACCATATCATCAAAGTGAATCACTCTGGTGGCATGACATCGAGTCTCCTTGGTTTATCTCTACCATTACTGCATTTTTCAAACCCAACACGTTGATTTCCAGAAATAGAGAGCTCGTCTGACGTCGATCGTTCGATCCCTTCTTCCGACGTCGATCGACACTGTTGATCCGTCATCGATTGACACTGTTAATCCATCATCAATCGATATGGTTCATCCGAATGCACTTCCTGCTGCTCCACCTGCTTGTCAAAATCCTCATCCTTTGCTTCAGCCCCATATCTCTTCTCCAAACATGCATTAGAAAACATGCACCTCGTTTTCTCTAGCAAAGTTTGGTTCATTATATCTGCTACACCATTTTTCTGTGGTGTATCTCTGACTGTAAGATGCTTAGTAGTTGTTGCATCCTTACAAAACTGATTGAACTCTGATGAACAAAGTTCCAGACCATTTGCTGAAACTGTAGAACCTTCCAGCAAATACAGAGTACCATGAATGAAACCTCTCAGAATCACATCTAAACCCTTGTAGACACTCAGAACTCCATCTCCGCCTGAATACTTGAAACCTCTGCTATCCAAAAGACTAACTGAGATCAAGTTCTTGGACATAGCTGGAACATGTTTAACTCCGGTCAATGTACATATTCTACCCTCATGTGTCCTGAGCTTAATGGAACTAATTCCTGCAATATCGCAAGCAAAGTCATTCGCCATCTTGATCTTGCCATCAGTCACTTCCTCGTACTCTGAGAACCATTCCCTCCTTGGACACATATGATATGACGTTCCTGTGTCTAGAACCCACACATCCCTAGAATGTGTTTTTTCTTGAGTACCACACATCTCATAGGAGTTAGGCAGTGATACCAACAGAATCAGTGCCGCATCATCATCCTCCACCTTAACGTCTATATTCCTCAGATCTAACATGATAGAATTTAGACTATCAAGATGATCCTGAAGTTGTGTACCTTCATGCATCCTCAGAGCGAAGAGACGTTGTTTCAGAAGCAGTTTCTTAGTCAGAGACTTCATCATGTATAGACCCTCCAACTTCGACCACAAATCAGCTGCAATATCAACACCAGAAACCTCGATGATGATCTCATCTGCCAGACATAACAAAATCGTTGAATACGCCTTCTCTTCAATAACCTTCATCTCAGCTGTAACAGGTTCAACCTTCTTCCTTGACAACGGTGCCCAAAGACCTTGTTGCTTGAGCAACGCCTTCATCTTGATTTGCCAGAGACTGAAACTGTTCCTTCCAGTAAACTTGTCGATCTTCATGTTCATCCCAGACATCTTCTCACCAGATTCAACCCGAAGCTCTGATACCAGTTTGTTGTGACAGATGCGAGAAGATATAGATTAACAGATTGATAAACAATGGAGAATGACACAGAGATTTAACGTGGTTTGATCCACGGGAAAAAGGAGTACTTTATTAGTGGAGGCTAGTTTTTCAGAGTACAACTCGTGTTACAGAATAGGGTAAAACCCTAAAGATATATAAGAAAACGTTTAATGAAACTTTCCATATTTTCTAGGATTTGACACAATATCAATCGATACAAAGGCTCCTGTATCGATCGATCTGTATCCGACCAGATCGACCGATCCATGACTCCTGGATCAATCGATGCAGATTCAAGGCATATTTCAACACATAACCTATACAATACCGAGTTGTTATCTCCAACTTTCTAGAGAAGGCCATATCAGTGTATGTACAAAAGTTCCTGCCGCTTGGAGAAAGAGTTAGGACGCATGATGAGATCTCTGAATTAATATACGATCTTCAGGAAGTAGCTGTGAATTCTAACCAAAGCCTAAGAAGAGTAGCTACTGGACAAAGTGACCACTTTTTCTTACCAAGCTCAGCACCTTATCAAAGCAACACATCTTCTTCACAAGAAGAACAAAGAGAAAGATGTTCCTTCCGCCCGCTTCAACCAACGATCATAAATGCTCACAGCGTTCTCGGGTAATTCCTATTCGACTCATGTGTTCCAAAGAACATCGAAGGTTGGGATATCTGATTTGGAGGTTCTCTCAACATCGAAGCTAAACAAGGTACACACTACATGGGAAGTAGTAGAAAGATATTTAGGAAAGGAGATGCACTAAGATGTACATAGAGGTGACCACTACTAGTAGTCTACTACAACCTAATATACTAGAGTGGTTCCTTGGAAATGTTGTATCAAAATTAAGTATGTAGATATTTTTTCTCTTGTTAATAAAAAAACACTCTCAGATATATCACCAGTGTAGGAAAAATGGTTAATTTCGACCTCAACAAGTATCGGTGTATTTTTTTTTCTATTTAAACTTTAATATAGTGCTGATTTCCATCATGAACTAATATTTATTCCAAAAAACTATCTGCACTATCAAATTCAGGCCAAAATCAAGTTTGAATGAAATAATGTTGGTCAACCATATATATATATATATATAACAAAATATATTCAAATAAATCAAAAACCCAAAAAATAGCACCAAAAAATATATATAAAATCAAAATATACAAAAAGTTCAGTGACAAACTATAAATATCCAAGAACCCAAAATATATCTAAAAACAAAAATTATATCTAAAATCTTAGACTTCTTATCTTTCTTTTTTTTTGGGGGGGGGGGGTTGATATATTTACGAGTTTAGATATATTTTGGTGTTTTATATTTAAATTTTCTTATTGAGCTTCATCTGTTTTTTTTTTTTTGGAAACATGAAGTTATAACAACCAGATAAGAACATCTTAACTTTCCTGGTTATTTTAACTTGATTTAATATGAAATTTTATTAATGGTATATTCTATTTATATTTTTATAAATAAAAACTACATTAATTTAAACTTGAACAAGTAGTCATATTGTATGTAAATAAAATTTTAGAGAGACTAAATAAACATCAAGTAATTTTAATAGCTAAAATTTACCAAAAAATTATATCACAAAATTAATCAAATAATAGAGATTTTATTAAAAATTCATAATAAAAGGGTAAAATAATTAAAAATAAAATAACTGATATTTTCTATAAATTTCCTATTTGATATAAATAAAAATAATATAATTATAGATATTTTAAAATTTACTAAAATAAAAATGTTCAAATATTTTGATTCGAAAAATTAAATTTGTTAAGAAAATATTCCAGGTCTTAGTTCTATTGAATTCTGCATCAATTTCTATTTCGTAAACGTTACAGAAACCAAATTAGATTAAGTTGGGACGTCAACTAAAGATGAAGAAGACTTTTACGAAGCCGAAACTAAAACACTAAACTCAATCAATTTCCATGCAACTGTGACAGATAGTCTAAAACGTTCTTGGGTGGGACGATCCAGATGCTTTGAGGAGGGCAAAGTTGTAGCCAATTGTGCCATTCCTTAGACGGACTGTACATGCTTTCATCAAACGAGTAGGAGACACATCTCTTGCGATTGTAACCAAACCTTGAAAAGTATACATTGTTCCTCATCCATGGGAGATTAAGTCTTACCTCAGAGTTATAATAACTGACAAAGAATGTCAAGCCGTCAAGCTCGGTAATACTCATCTTTACCCAATGCAAAGAGACTAGTTTATAGATCAATGGCTTCTCATTCCCACTTGTAAGCATGAGAAAGAGCTCTCCATTCTTCTCTGCCAGAAAAGATGCTTCCTGGTAATAATTAAATTGATGTTCACTAAAGACATACGCATAATGAAAACACCATGTGCGAGAAGATGTGTGAAACGAGTAAAGATTCCCTCCTCCGTGGCTAAAGAAGTGAAAGAAATAGAATATTTTATTGAGATAGAAAAGCTTGCTGTTTTTCGTATAGTAGCCTGGAAAACGAGAGTGAAACGCGGACTCTTGAGTGATCCACTCAGTTGCTCCAGGATGCCAAGTGCTGATGGTTATCCTTCTCTCTTGAGCCTCTACATCAAAACTTAACGCTGACACAAGGCCTACGACACAATGATCCGATGTAGGAGGACAAGAGAATGCAACCACCAGTAAAGACTCCTCAAACTTGGGCAAGGTTACGAGCTCCTGAGAAAACGGGTTGAAGAAGAACATGTCTTTTGAAACAGATCTACGCATAAGTAACCAGCCGTCTCTTGAGTAACACAAAGTGGAGTCAGCTAGCTCTGGCAGATTCAAAGTGTACGACTTCGAATGTAACGGATCGCGGAGTTCAAACGAAGTGCCACGTTTAGGAAAACAAAAAAGCCAAGGGTGTTCTTCTACTACACGGACAGATATTGCAGCTTCACGCCATGTTTTGCAAGAAGCTGAGGCACGGATGTTATCTTTTAATACAAGCCGAGACATAATTACTTCCAAGAGGCTTGATGGAAGATCATCAAAACTAGGATTCACTGCCTCTACGACACTCGGAGTGTTGGATCTACGTACAAAAGAAAGTTTGATTATACAAAAGAAAAACAAAGTTTGAAACTCAGTTCATATTCATATCAAATTCATCCTCCAATACTATAAGTTGTAATAAGTGCTTGAGAGTAACAAACCTTTTACGGGGTGGGGACGCCATCGCTGGAGAAGGTGGTGGTGTTCGACGGGCCAACGAAGGTATGCTGATGAATGATGATTTAGTGGAGAATCTAGAATCTTAGGGTTTGTTGTCTTTCGATATTAGTTTCGTATATATCAACAGGTTAATAGACTAGGTTTCAAAACATTATCCGTACATATAAGTACCGTAAATTACTAATCGGATGATTGTTTCTAAAGTTTAAACATAATTAACAAGAGAAAAGGAAACTAGTCTAAAAATTGGACCCGTTTAAGCCCAAATGTGAGAGACCTGATATCACATTGTTAAAGCCTAAAGGGCTTGATTTTTGGTAAACATAATTATTGAGCTAATAATCTAATAGCTATATATTGGTCCAAGTCCAATACTTTATCCAGTTTTTAATAACACTAAAAGTCTTCATATCTTTCCACGTTTTATAATCTTCTGCAATTTTTTTTTAAAAGTATCTAGATACTTATAGTTAGGGGTGGGCGTTCGGGAATTGTATACATTCGATTAGATTCGAATCTATTCGGATTTCAAGTTTTAGGATTAGAGATTTTAATCTCATTCGGATATTTATAAATTTTGGTTCGGGTTGGAATAACCTTTTTAGATTATTTTTAATATTTTAAATTTTATATATACTTTAAATTTCAAAAATCCAAAAAATCAATATGATATATAACATATAAATATGAATAATATATACCAAAATACTTTAACTTAACATAAAATTTGGTTTAACTTGAATATTTGAATGAAGACTTAATAGATTTTTTAAGTATTAACAGTGTTTTGAGTATTTTTAACTAATTTAAATATTTACTTTTGACTATTGGTATATATTTTCAAATATATTTGGAAATCTCAAAATATCTTATACATTTTTGATATTTTTCGATATTACATCTAAAAATAACTAATATATTGAAATATATAAATCTGATTCGGATCTATTCAGGTATTCAAAGTATTTCGTTTCGAATTGAGTTCGGTTTTGGTTCTCTAGATACCAAAATTTTGAATTTGTTTAGATATTTAACTAATTTTGATTCGAATTCAGCACTAATTTTTCGAATCGGATTTGGTTCGATTTTTTAGGTTTGAATTTTTTACTTAGTCCTAATTTACTTATAGTAGAATGATCTTAGATTGCATATATGTTCATGAGTCAAAAATGAAAACTCCCTCCACGGTTAGAACAATATCATAATCAATTATGGAGATTTTTTTTTATCAGTCTTACTATGGAGATAAAGAGTCTTACTCTGCATTTTACAATCATGAGTTTTGAGTTTTGTACTAAAACTAGTTTTGAGTAGACGACTGATCTATCTGGGGTCGTATTGCACATTTTTAAGTTGTATAGGTAGTTACCCAGAAATGTTGAAACCAAAAGGTGACGTTATATAAATTTGACTAATTAGAGAACCGTTTTGTAAAATACCTATTATCTCCCTGCGTCATCCTTGTCCCCAATCAACTAGGGTTTTGGTTATCGCAGGGTTTTACCTTTCCCCATTTCTGCTCCACAAAATTCAAAGAAATCGGAAATGTCTTCTCTAATGGCGATTCGATGCGTACAAACAAAGAAGATTCTCACAATAGGTTCTCTGCTTCACTTACGCTCCTTTCCTCCTCATCTATACGCCTCCAACTCAATTTCGAGCAGAAGCCTGAGCACATCCGCCTCCACCACGAACGACTATCGCCAAAATCCTCACTCCGTCTCATCTTATCAACGGCCCAATCCATCCCCAAGGTTCGATTCTCAGCGTTTTCAGAATCAGAGGTATAGCCCTAACCATATCAATCCCCAGACTCCTCAACAACAGGGCGGTTACAACAACCAGGTCAATTACCAGAATCAGAATATTCAGCAAAGCAAGGAGATAGCTTCCCCTACCATAGAAGAGATAGTGCGTTTGTGTAAGCTTAGGAGATACAAAGATGCCATCGACTTGCTTGACCAAGGAGCCACCCCTGATAAAGACTGTTTCTCCTTACTGTTCGAGTCATGCGCCAATTTGAAATCTCTGGAGCATTCCAAGAAGGTACACGATCATTTCCTCCGGTCTATCTTCAGAAGCGACCCGAAGCTGAACAACGTGGTGATCAGTATGTTCGGGGAGTGTAATAGCGTCACCGATGCCAAGAGAGTGTTTGATCACATGCCCGGTAAAGATTTGGATTCTTGCCACGTGATGATGCGCGTGTACAGCGATAACGGGATGGGAGACGAGGCGTTGCAGTTGTTCGAGGAGATGGGCTTGAAGCCCAACGGGGAGACGTTCGTTGCTGTTTTCTCGGCTTGTGCAAGTGTGGGTGCGGTTAAAGAAGCGTTTCTGCATTTCGATTCGATGAGAAACGAGTTTGGGATTACTCCGAGGAAGGAACATTACTTGGGTGTTTTAGATGTTATTGGCAAATGCGGGCATCTTGTTGAAGCGGAGCAGTATATCCGTGGCCTCCCGTTTGAAGCTACGGGTGAATTCTGGGAAGCTATGAGGAGCTATGGTGTGATACATGGAGATATCGATTTGGAGGATTACGCGGAGGAGATGATGGTTGAGCTTGATCCTTCTAAAGCAGTAACGAACAAGATTCCTACCCCTCCGCCAAGATCATACAGGGAGAAAAGTATGGTTGCTAGTAAGAGTAGGATCCTTGAGTTTCGGAATCAGACTATTTACAAGGATGAAGCTAAGGAGATGGCTGCGAAGAAGGGAGCGGTTTATATTCCAGACACTCGGTGCGTTCTGCATGACATTGATGAGGAGGCTAAAGAACAGGCGTTGCTATACCATAGTGAGAGGTTAGCGATTGCTTATGGTATCATATGCACCCCGCCTCGGAAGAGCCTTACCATCATCAAGAATCTCCGTGTGTGTAATGACTGCCACAACTTTATCAAGATCATGTCTAAGATCATTGGTCGAACGTTGATTGTGAGAGACAACAAACGTTTCCATCACTTCAGTGATGGTAAATGTTCCTGTGGCGATTATTGGTAGAGTTCATGTTCTTGTGGCGATTATTGGTAGAGTTCATGTTCCTGTGGCGATTATTGGTAGAGTTCATGTTCTAGACCCTTTCACATAAGGTATTAAGTTTGTGTTTCTCCACTTCCTTGCTAACTTTTGAATAATTTATTGCGTTTGATAAATATTTTTGCTCATATTATGGCAGAATATTAGAGAACATGTCGGTTTAAAGTTGCAAGAATCAATGTCTTTGAAATAAGAGTGTATTAATACGAACTTTAATTACAATAACATATAGAACAGAGAGAAAGGGAGAGATGTGTTCAGACAATGTTGATAGTTTGAGTCATCATCCTCATGAACTCTTCCATATTAACCAACCCATCTCCATCTGCATCAACAGCTCTAACCATCCTCCTGCAGTCTTCTAAGTTGCATCTCTCACCAAGCTTCCTCAGAACCGACATCACTTCTTCTGCGCTTATCTTCCCATCCCCGTTCAGATCAAAGGTCCAGAAAGCGTTTCGTATATCCAAAGATCTAATCCCTCCACTTTTCTTGTGTGCTTCTATAAACTCCTTGAAGTCAATAAACCCATCTCCGTCCAGATCAGCGGCCTTAAAGATCTTGGGCACGTCTTGTATCGCTCTCTCTTGTCCTAGAGCTCTAAGAACCACCTTATACTCAGTCTGAGAGATTTTTCCGTCTTTGTCTGAATCAAATCTGTTGAAAACACGTCTCATCTCGTTGATAGTAGGCTGAGGGACGCCTACTGATCCAGGTGAAGACAGTCCTGAGGATTGCCTGTCTCTAGAGAACAATCTTGAAGGCTTCCTCAACATCTTGTTCTTAGAGAGCTTGTATTGCAGCTCAAGAAAGTTTACGTTTGACATGTCTTGTTTTGATCACGAATGTTTTCTTGGGGAGCGCCTTGGTCTCAATGTATATATATATATATATACCGCAAAGCCTTTTAGGGAATAAAGATAAAGTAAGATTTCTCAGGCAAAAAGAGTCTTGGGATTAAAGAACATGTGACTTTATTCTATGGCAACTTAGGCTTCGTGTTGAGAGAGAGATTCGTCAATGAAGAGGATAAGATTAAGAAGGAATAAGATGTATGGCTAAGCCACAAGGCAAAGAATGAATAATCTTTATGGGACCGAAAGTTAGAGGAAAAGATGATTCCTTCACGGTATAAAGCTATTGCTTGAAGAACTTGTACGTACTATGTGGGTTATCACAAAGACAAAGAACCTGATACCAGAAATGGTTTTGTTGCTGTACAACTCTATCCACCCAAGCCATTCTAAATCTAACACGCGTATCTTCCTATCTCAAGATCGGTATGCTACCAACAACATCTCATAACCCAAATCTTTCACTAACATTAATCCATTCAAATATATTTACTCGCCAGTTTCACCTGAAGAGAAAAAAATTAATGAATAACAAAAAAGTCATTGGATTAGGTATGACACGCTAAACTTGAAATCCATAGACTCGTGTAACACTCCGAATATAAATACTTTAACTCTTACATGAAAAAACATACCCTTATATCATCCAAAGAACAAAAAACAAGCAAGGACTCTAATTAGGTCTCTTTACTTAAGATTCACGCGTGAGACTATTTCCCACCCCGACCGTCCGAATATGCTTTATTGAACCTGATTTACTTTGCTATAATAGGTCTCACCGTAGCACCACACGCACTCTTATTTCGACATACATAAATATGTCTTTGTATCCGACCAAGATTCATACTCGTATTCCACTTTCATTTAACATATTAAGCAAACAATGTGGTAAATTCTCTAACTTCATATTTTCAATTTAAGCAAAGAACCTAATATTCTAAATACGCAGACTCCGGATAGAGTTGAAATGTGGGTCTATATCATCTTTTATGTATGTTATCAAAAATTTATTCCAACTTTCAACTATATATATTGAATTTGGTTGTAACGTTTATTTTAGTAACTTTATGTTAAATTTGTGAACACTGTAAAATTCAGCAATATTAAACTTTCTATCGAAAAAGTTTATCTATTTTCTGAATAATATTTTTATCTAATAAAAGATCTCTACAGCTATGTGTTTGAATCTCTTATATCTCTATAATATTATTTGAGAAGTCAGTTTCCTATGTGGCGCGCTCACGTTGACTCTTACATTGGTTGATTACTATGATAGCCTTGATGAATATATTTAAATAGTATATTTAAATAATATTATTAATTTTATGTTTAGTTTCCTTTTCAAAACATTCCAAATAACTTTTATAATAAAAAAGAAAAAAAATTATTAAATTTAAAAACGAAAATATATGTTTATATAATATGATTTCATTAAAAAAGAAAGTTCACAAAATAGTAATATACTATCAAAATAGTAAAATAGTATTATTAATTTTGTATTTAGTTCCTTTTTAAATATTTCCAACTAAATTTTATAATAGAAAAAACATCTATAAAATTTAAAAGGAAAAATTAAAAACGAAAATATATGTTTATATAATATTATTTCATTAAAAGGGAAAATTAACAAAATAGTAACATCCATTAAAAATATTTTAAATAACATAAAATGTACTTTTTAATTAATAAATTACTTTCTTTATATCTGTATTTTCTTATATGAAAATATATATTTTTATATAATGTGATTTCATAACAAAAAATTCACACATATAATTTTGATATTTGAAAAAAAAAAATTTACTTTTAAACATAATTTTAAGTAACATAAACAAGTATATGTTTTTATTAACTAAAATAGTTTTTAATTAAAATTATTGGATATTTTATTTATTTTCATATATTTAGTTGACTATAGTATCTTTCAACTAAAGCAAAAAAAAAATCTATAAATTAAATTTTACTTATATAATATTATTTCTCAAATACAACCACAATTTTTACTGCTTATTTTTAAGAGAAATTAAAATAATTTTTAACAATAAACATCTTTTAATCAAATAATTACAAAATATTTTAAAATATCATACCACTATATACTTTAATGACATAGATATGTTATATTCTATCATTATTTAAATTATATGTTTCTTAATTTTTTTTTTTTTAATTTTATGTTTGTGTAACTTAATATAACCATAATAAAAATACCAAAGCAAATCCGAATTCTCATTTTTAAGATTATTTAAAATAATTTCAGTTTATCATTCAATAAATCTAAGATATAAAATTATTTAAAATTTATAAAATATTTTAGTTATTGTAAATATTGATATGTGTTCATGAATCTCCAGAAATATATGAGTAACTTAAGTATGTAACTTCCTACTGATTATTGCTTTATTTTATATTATATTTTAAAGAAACATATAACTTGATAAATATTATGAAAATACGTGCACATTTAAATGATAAATAATATTACTTTAATTTGATTTATTTTGTGAAATTTATATATATGCATGAGACTTCAAAGATTATCTTTATATCGATTGATGTAATTTGAAATCAAAATTATTTTATATTTCAGTAAAGGCATAATATATCTTAAGTTATAAATAATTTTCTAAAATATATTGACATCTGAGACAGCAAACAACCTAAAAGTAAATAATAGAATTAATCAAAATTTAATATATTTAGAATAAAAAATATTATAGTTGAATTCAGATAAAAGAATGTAATCTAATATACCCAAATAATAACAGTATAATCGACTATAAAATAATAAAATTGACTAGATATAATATTTCTAAAATAATATGTCTAATTAAAGTAAAATAATATTATTAATATAAATCATGTATGCAAATTATAAATTAATTGAAAATTAAAAGTAAATAGTAATCAATTATTATAGTATATTTACTTAATAAATATTTATACCCGTGCATGAGCACGGGAAAATCANCTATAAAATAATAAAATTGACTAGATATAATATTTCTAAAATAATATGTCTAATTAAAGTAAAATAATATTATTAATATAAATCATGTATGCAAATTATAAATTAATTGAAAATTAAAAGTAAATAGTAATCAATTATTATAGTATATTTACTTAATAAATATTTATACCCGTGCATGAGCACGGGAAAATCACCTAGTTCTATGTAATTTATATGTCTATTGGTTTAATATAAAATTCAAGTTCATATTAATATTATAAATTTCAATATAAAAAATAATACTATGATGGATTGGTTTTGATTAATGATTTAGAATATGGATGTATTGATAACCTTCATATTTTACTTTATGTTTTATAAATTTCCTTAGTCTCGTGATTATATATCTAATATATTAAAAGAGAAGTCATGATTCTTTTAATGTGTGATATTTAAAATGGATCATCTACTAGAATTTGTCACATTATATTATTCAATCATTAAATAGTAACCTTAAAATTAGTTACATATAATTTTGAGCTTATCCAAATATATTATTGGGCTAACAATAATTGGATAACCTATTGGATTTATAGATAATATAATAAAACACATGTATAAATTAAAGGGATATGATTTAGTGTTGTAATAGTATATCTTCAAAAGTTAATTATTTATAATATATTTGTTGATGTTAACTTTTAAAATTATATAGTTTATTTTTTAAAATAACAAAAATCATGATTTTCTAACAATGATTAAGCTATACTACCTTAAACCAATAAAAACATTTTTTAAGTTATATAGTTTATTTTAAAAATAAAAAAAATTAAATTTTTAGTTATTTACTCCATAATATGAAGCTAAAAGTTTTATTTTTGTTAAACTTCCTAAATTTGAGAAATGTTACAATATATTTAAAGATAAGAATCAAATAATATTTTACCAATCTTTACATATATTTACGACTTTAATAATGAAATAATTATTCAAAACAATATATATAGAAGAAGATACAAATATATGTGAACGTTTGAAACAATCTTTTCGATGAAAAACTAATATATGATAAAATTATTATCTTTTAAAAATTGATATACATATCTCATACATATATATATATATATATATATATATATATATATATATATATATATATA